TGTTATTTAATCTTATTCAATATTCAAATTTATTTTCCAGTACTTAAGCGACAATAAAGATGGTATGGCAAGTAGGCTGTATTCCTTGCCTCTCTTCACTTTTCCTGTAGGTTAATGCCACTCATCAATTTTCCCCTAGGTTAATGCCACCCGCCACCTTTCCTGTAGGTTAATGCCACTCACCACCTTTCCTGTAGGTTAATGCCACTCACCACATTTGCTTTAGGTTAATGCCACTCACCACCTTTCCTGCAGGTTAATGCCACTCACCACCTTTCCTGTAGGTTAATTACACTCACCACATTTGCTTTAGGTTAATGCCACTCACCACCTTTCCTCTAGGTTAATGCCACCCGCCACCTTTCCTGTAGGTTAATGCCACTCACCACCTTTCCTGTAGGTTAATGCCACTCACCACATTTGCTTTAGGTTAATGCCACTCACCACCTTTCCTGCAGGTTAATGCCACTCACCACCTTTCCTGTAGGTTAATGCCACTCACCACCTTTCCTGTAGGTTAATTACACTCAACACATTTGCTGTAGGTTACCGACACCTTTATTGATATAGAAAAGATATATTCTCCTGCTTCTATCAAATAAGTCACGATCGCATCTTTTTTCGACTATCGATTGACAGTGTAATTGTGTTATATGTATGTGTTAAATTTTCCCCATTATTAACAATTAATGACGCTCCATTACGGTAACTTAAGAAACAATGTACGTTCATAGGCGACATATATGTTTTGTTACTATTCTTGGAAATTTATTCATTATGTAGTAAATAATATATATTGAAACGCTTGATTGGTGAATGTTTTAAGTAAAGGTTTTAAAATCCTGCATTTTAATTAAAGCTACCCTTGCAATCACGTTGACCGTTTAAGTTACCTGATATTTTCACATAAAAAGAATGAGTCGATTGTTATCTACATCTTGATAGGAAGGTTTTGTGATAAGCATGGTAACTTTGCTATTTTGTATTCGTTTTCCGTACCCAGCAACTGTCCGATCGACCACGCAAACATAACCACGCCTACCGAAAATCAAGGGAGGCTACTCTCACCATCTCCGACAAACAAAATGTCGTCAGCATTGAACGTAATAATTTTGCCATTTTAACAGTCAATTTCGCTTTTATGGTTCATCTTTGAAAATTTTGATTTCTTGTAAAGTGGTCACAGTAACCTATATTTTCATAAAAAAAAAAAAAAATTCGCTGAAGATACTCTTTAAACACCACACAATGTTGAATCTGTTTGTTTTTTTTTCCTCTTTACATTTTTGCTAATAATTTAAAAGATAAAAAAATAAAACAAAGTTCAAGTGGTGTGATAGTTTTCTATGGAGCAGAATTAATGAAATAAAAATAAAAACAGTCGCTATGCAGGGTTAGCTCAGTTGGTAGAGCATAGGCTCCACGACCAGAAGCGTGCAGAGGGCTGTGGGTTAAATACTTAAAATGTTTTTTTTTTATGTATATCATGTTAATGTTTTTTTTCATCAAGAATATTACTACCTTATTGGAAGACTTTAAGATTTTATTTCAACTGTTTAACCATAACAGTAAACGCTCATATTACCATAGACCATTCACAAAGTAAAACTTTGTAAAAGAGCAGAAATATGTCCAGATAGTTTCATTTCCCTTCAGTCAATAAATATCCGAAAATGGTCCGTCCGAAATCAAACTTGTTTATAAATACACACATTAACATGCGGCTTATTAGCACATGAGAGAGGATTATAAAACTTATGCAAGCCAAATTTTGAGTGAAAAAAAATATACTGATGTTCATTGAAATATTGTACACGTGAGTCTGTGAATATTTACGTACTTTTGAGCAGACATAGAAATTTTTAAAATGTTTTCCTCTAGAAGGACACCGCAGGATCTCCTCGTTAAGTTGATACTTAGGCCGTCCGCACAATCGGAGCCAAGATTTGTTTTCTCGGGCTTCGTCAGTGGTTTGGGAAACGGTATGAACACAATACCTCCCTCTAATCGCTTTGGGTAGCGAGAATCGGTATTGCAAGTTCCCCAGCAGCAACGTTTCACCATTGTCGGAGAATGTCGGAGTAGCGAAACGTAAACAAAGAGGCGAATACTACCCGCGATCTGATTGGCTGAAGCGCGCTGTCAATCAAAAGCTGGCGATCGGGCAACTGCATTCTTTAAAGACGTTTTGGTCAAACGTTTTACAAAAGTCAATTATGGCTTTACTTTGGACATCGATGTGTTTCAGGGGGTAAGGTCAAAGCAAAAGTCACCTTGCTATTTTTAGAAAATAATCGACTGATTCAATTTATACACTTCGCAAATTCATTCTTTCATGGGATCTGATAAACCTTTACCCAACGATCAAGTATGCGTATAACTTTGGCATCGTTTGTGTTTCAATGGCCAAAGGTCATGGCCAAGGTCAGTGGTGCATTTTTTATTGAAAATATGTCAACTTTGCACTAAGAGATTTCGTTCTTTCATGGAATTTGATAAAATTTTACCAAACGATCAAGTACGGGCATATTTTGGAGATTGCTTTGTTTCAAGAGCCCAAGGTCAAGTCCATCGCGGCGAGGGCATTTATGTTTTCAGACATTTTCGAGTTTTCTCCTCTAAAATAGAAAAAAAAAATTGTTAGGTGTAATATGAAATTAATCAAGACCTTGTCACTTTAAAGTTGTGCCGGGAAGTTGTGCGTATTCTTCTCCCTGATTAGGTCGCTTCTGGTCATGGTAAATTGATGGCGTTTTTCTCCTTTTTTTGGGTATGTAACGATATCCTTGGCAGATACCTTAGGCTTTTGAAGTTAGATTTAATAATGCAATCATCAAATTGCTAATTAAATAAAAAAAAAAATGAATAAAATTTGAGCTTTGAGAAGTTATTAAAGTACTGTAAGTACTGAGGACACAAACGACAGGTTTTAACGGTGATTTATGTGAATGCTGGATGTGTTGAAGAGTTTAAACACCAATAACAACAGAGAAAAACATGTTGTTTTTAATATATTTTCTCCTGGGAAACAAATGCTATTGATATTGTATGTTGCTTATCCATTAACACTTGCTTACACTTGCGACACGGCGATGTTGGAGAAAAAAGTGAACCAATTGTGTTGATCCCAGTGAATTAATGAATATATTTTATGAAATGTATTTTCCAAAATCTATGAGCGACATTGTGGAAAATATTTTCGTGTATAAGGCTTTCTTATGACATCGAGTGCCATGTGCATAATTTCGAAGTCATAACACGTGATCTACTGTGAATACAAAACCTGTATACTTGACATAGCGACTTTTGTAAAGCTTAACTTAGCATTTTGTCCGTCATGTGTCGTCCGTTTACTTTACACAGTTTCATCTTCTTCAAAAGAACCGCTGAGCTGGTTCAAACTAGCATCAATACCTGAAGGGACAAATTGTATATTACTTATTCAATAGGTTCACAGCGCGTGGTAAAAAGTGAAACGTGTTGTTTTAAGCATACTCTCTCCTTTTGAAACAAATAGTATTCACTACTTCATATAATAGTTATTCTAAGTGACTGTTTTCAAATAAATGGGAATCACGTGGCTGTTTCAATATTTTGGTCCGCCAAAAATTCCCCCACCCCTGGTATTTTTATATTTTCACTGACAAAATAGCCAAATTACTGGTATATTTAGAACAGATATAAAAGAGGAAGCTGACTAGGCTTTTCGCGGACACTATTTACTCAATAAAACTTCGCAGTACGCGACAAAATGTAGTCCGCTTTTCGAAAATAACATTAAATTCGGAAATAACATTAAAATACGTGAACGCAAAAATAAATTTCAATGTAATTTGTTTATATTCACATAGAAAAAGTTGCTATTCATGTGACTAACATGAAAAAATGCATTAAAATGTTCACAAAGTTTAACCAGTGACAAGTTACTACGCGATTGAAAATATGGCGGCAACCTACAGCTGTCGCTGTTGATGACACGAATCCTCTGGAAACGTTTAAAGTGTTTGCTCTATATTCAAGACATCAGGTTGGAGATCAGGTCTGATGTCTAATAAGGTAATTTGTGTTGCATTTTCGCGGATTTTCATGGAAATTAAAGTTTACCAAGGACTTGAAGGTCGTGTGTCACAAGTAGACAACCCCTTTGGATTTCTGGTTTTGTGTTTTTTGTAACGGGTTATATGATTGGTCAATTTTATACTATGATTTGTGTTCCACCTTTTCATTGGCGTGAGTCTGTAAAAGTGAAAATATTATCATTTCCATTAAAAATAACGCATTTATCGATGAGATATTTCTATATATTGCACTAGAATATATATATATATATATATATATATTGATGTAACTTAAAGATGCTTTGTGTATCGATTAAATTGTTGAAAAAAATCAAATCAAATCAACACGACAAATGTATTCCGAGGAATATATACATATATATGTGTGTGTGTAATAAATGACGATTTGTCTCCCGGTATAACATACCTGCTATGTCTGGGTGTTTTTCCTAATATGAAAGGTTTACAGGTCTGGTGTCGCATAGCAGTCTATACTATAAGGTGTAATTGATATGATTAGTACCATATACATCGATAGCGCAGTGGGACATGTTTATAATAAGCAATTTTGTATATGCAGGTTTAAACTTCCTTCCTGGGAATAATCGTTATCCTGAATTTATTGCTAAATGCTTAATCTGTATAAAATATATCAGTTGGTGGACAAATTATTGTGACAATGAACAGCTTTTCGAACAAACACTAGAAATGTGACATGATTTCTGTTGACAAAACCGTTTTTATTTCTTTGATAAGAAAACAGTGCCATTTCAGGGAAAATCTTTTGATGACGGTAGACAGCTCCTTTAACTGTCGTATACGGCAGTCAACATACTTCTCCGTGAACACATTTCTATTACCTTTCTCTGAAAGAGGATTCACACCGTTACCAATATAAATAGAACATTTCAGACGAATGTGTCAATCTCTAAATAACAGAGGTCAATTTTCCTCCACTTCCGGTATTTGAGAAATAAGTGGCTGGTTAACTTGAGGCCTACCAGGTGTTAAAGATTCTTTTCTACTGCTCTCTTCATTTATTGTGGTAGGGATACTGAGAGACCTATCGAGAATTTCCCTTTTGTGAGCGTAAACAAGTGCCTTGATTGTTTCGTACTTTTTCTCCTGTCCTGGTACACTCAGGTTAAAGGCTTTTGTGTCCATTCTGAAATAGCATTTTTCTCGCGATATGCATCTGTCTCTTGATGAACTCTCTCGTGATCTTGTTCCTGTGTTTGTAGATTTGAAACTTGCATTTGATGATCTTGAAAAACGGAAACTGTCAGTAGACCTTGTTCTCGTTAATGTGCTTGACGATATCACACGCATGCGCGGCCTGTTAGTTGCACGCGCTTCTACAGCACCATTTGGAGGAGTGTATCGTACCGCGAAATTTCGTTTCGCACTTCTTTTCTTACATTTAAGAAACCTAAATAAATATTTTCGAAAACTTTTACTTGAATAAAAATATAAAACTGGATTAAGAGCACTGTTAGCATGTCCTACAAGAATAGTAAACGGAAGTACCGTAAGGAATGGCCGCACGTGACGTTTATGGAAGTCTAAGTACAGGCTTACAATATGATATGGAAGCCAACACACAGCGAACAAGATGGCAAGCGCTATCAACATTTTCGCCACCCGTTTTCTTCCGTTCATCACGTGTTTACCGAGGCCACGGCTAGTCTCAGACTCGGTTCGTTGTAAGTTTTTATCTTCTGTCCATAATTCTTTTCCTATGAGGCTGTATGAGCTGCCGATAATGGCTCCGGGTACCGCGTACAAAATGGCGAACAGAAGAAGGTCGTACACCTGTCGATGTCCAATCTCTGGCCACACCTCATTACATAGGTACAACGGTTCGCCTGGAATAACGGTCACGGCGTCTACTCTTCTCATGAACAATAGAGGGCACATAATAGCAACAGACAACACCCATATAGCAGTGATCAGTTTAACAGCTGACCTGGTGTTGCTCACACGACGAAATATCATTGGATGTCTAATGGCTAGAAACCGGTCGATGCTGAGGACCGCGATTGTGTATATACTGGCAGCTACCGTCACACCTGTAGAGATAAAATGTGAATATCTTTACTGGCATCTACCGTCACACCTGTAGAGGTAAAATGTGAATCTCTGTACTGATTACTACCGTCACACCTGTAGAGATAAAATGTGAATATCTGTACTGGTTACTTCCGTCACACCTGTAGAGATGAAATAAATATAAAATGTGAATATATGTACTGGTTACTACCGTCACACATGTAGAGGTAAAATGTGAATATCTGTACTGGTCACTACCGTCACACCTGTAGAGATAAAATGTGAATATCTGTACTGGTCACTACCGTCACACATGTAGAGATAAAATGTGAATATCTGTACTAGTTACTACCGTCACACCTGTAGAGGTAAAATGTGAATATCTGTACTGGTCACTACCGTCACACCTGTAGAGGTAAAATGTGAATATCTGTACTGGTCACTATCAACACACCTGTAGAGATAAAATGTGAATATCTGTACTAGTTACTACCGACACACCTGTAGAGACAAAATGTGAAACAAAAATATCTGTACTGGTCACTACCGTCACACCTGTAGAGGTAAAATGTGAATATCTGTACTGGTCACTACCGTCACACCTGTAGAGGTAAAATGTGAATATCTGTACTGGTCACTACCGTCACACCTGTAGTGATAAAATGTGAATATCTGTACTGGTCACTACCGTCACACCTGTAGAGATAAAATGTGAATATCTGTACTGGCAGCTACCGTCACACCTGTAGAGATAAAATGTGAATATCTGTACTGGTTACTACCGTCACACCTGTAGAGGAAAAATGTGAATATCTGTACTGGTCACTACCGTCACACCTGTACAGATAAAATATGTATATCTGTACTGGTCACTATCGTCACACCTGTAGAGACAAAATGTGAATATCTGTACTGGTCACTACCGTCACACCTGTAGAGGTAAAATGTGAATATCTGTACTGGTCACTACCGTCACACCTGTAGAGGTAAAATGTGAATATCTGTACTGGTCACTACCGTCACACCTGTAGAGGTAAAATGTGAATATCTGTACTGGTCACTACCGTCACACCTGTACAGATAAAATGTGAATATCTGTACTGGCAGCTACCGTCACACCTGTAGAGATAAAATGTGAATATCTGTACTGGTCACTACCGTCACACCTGTAGTGATAAAATGTGAATATCTGTACTGGTCACTACCGTCACACCTGTACAGATAAAATATGTATATCTGTACTGGTCACTATCGTCACACCTGTAGTGATAAAATGTGAATATCTGTACTGATTACTACCGTCACACCTGTAGAGGTAAAATGTGAATATCTGTACTGGTTACTACCGTCACACCTGTAGAGGAAAAATGTGAATATCTGTACTGGTCACTACCGTCACACCTGTACAGATAAAATATGTATATCTGTACTGGTCACTATCGTCACACCTGTAGAGATAAAATGTGAATATCTGTACTGGTCACTACCGTCACACCTGTACAGATAAAATATGTATACACATGTAGTGATAAAATGTGAATATCTGTACTGATTACTACCGTCACACCTGTAGAGGTAAAATGTGAATATCTGTACTGGTCACTACCGTCACACCTGTAGAGATAAAATGTGAATATCTGTACTAGTTACTACCGACACACCTGTAGAGACAAAATGTGAATATCTGTACTGGTCACTACCGTCACACCTGTAGAGGTAAAATGTGAATATCTGTACTGGTCACTACCGTCACACCTGTAGAGATAAAATGTGAATATCTGTACTGGTCACTACCGTCACACCTGTAAAGATAAAATGTGAATATCTGTACTGGCAGCTACCGTCACACCTGTAGAGATAAAATGTGAATATCTGTACTGGTCACTACCGTCACACATGTAGAGATAAAATGTGAATATCTGTACTAGTGTGAATATCACTGGTCACTACCGTCACACCTGTACAGATAAAATATGTATATCTGTACTGGTCACTATCGTCACACCTGTAAAGATAAAATGTGAATATCTGTACTGGCAGCTACCGTCACACCTGTAGAGATGAAATATGAATATCTGTACTGGTCACTACCGTCACACCTGTAGAGAAAAAATGTGAATATCTGTACTGGTTACTACCGACACACCTGTAGAGACAAAATGTGAATATCTGTACTGGTTACTACCGACACACCTGTAGAGATAAAATGTGAATATCTGTACTGGTTACTACCGTCACACCTGTAGAGACAAAATGTGAATATCTGTACTGGTCACTACCGTCACACCTGTAGAGATAAAATGTGAATATCTGTACTAGTTACTACCGACACACCTGTAGAGACAAAATGTGAATATCTGTACTGGTCACTACCGTCACACCTGTAAAGATAAAATGTGAATATCTGTACTGGTTACTTCCGTCACACCTGTAGAGACAAAATGTGAATATCTGTACTGGTCACTATCAACACACCTGTAGAGACAAAATGTGAATATCTGTACTGGTCACTATCAACACACCTGTAGAGATAAAATGTGAATATCTGTACTGGTCACTATCGACACACTTGTAGAGATAAAATGTGAATATCTGTACTGGTCACTATCAACACACCTGTAGAGATAAAATGTGAATATCTGTACTGGTCACTATCAACACACCTGTAGAGATAAAATGTGAATATCTGTACTAGTTACTACCGACACATCTGTAGAGACAAAATGTGAATATCTGTACTGGTCACTACCGTCACACCTGTAAAGATAAAATGTGAATGTCTGTACTGGTCACTATCGACACACCTGTAGAGATAAAATGTGAATATCTGTACTGGCAGTTACCGTCACACCTGTAGAGATAAAATATGAATATCTGTACTGGTCACTTCCGTCACACCTGTAGAGATACTATATAAATGTACAAGCGATACTCAATATATACAGACCCGATACAGGGCAAAACCTACTTACCCTGTAGATAGACTGTGATTTTACACATGAACTCCCCGTATATCCAGACTCGGTACAGTGCTTGACCCACAGCCATTGGAACACAGATAAGGCTCACTGTAAAATAAGTTTGAACATAATGAATGATATTTCCTCTCGTGCAACACTGGTTGACCAGTGGACATGTTATAGTATTTCTTAACATTACAATGTACCTGGAAACCGGAAATACAAAACATCAAAACATCAACCTTATGGTGACACTCTGGAATCCACGGCGACTTATTAGTGTCATTTCGTTACTTCATCTTTTCGCCGCGCAAAAGTCAAGAACTAAGAATACAAATTCTCGTTCTTTCGTCTTTTTGCAGACAAATCATGCGTGACAAGACAAAAGACGGAATAACGGAATGGCACCGGTCAGTCACCGTAGAGATCTGACGTCACTGTATATGTATGGTAAAACATACCGCTGTACTTCCAATGCTATTGTAAAATATGGTGAACCACAAGTGAAATAAATAAACAACTAATAATATGATAATTTGTGGTATTTGTTATGTATGGAGTTGTAATGTTGTTAAAACGAATAATTTTGTTCTCATATAATATATTTTCGATTTTATTTTTTGGGTTATTTTTTTTTACATTTTCATCGTTTTTATTTTTTTGTTAACTTCCCATTAAATATGGTTTGATTATTCTAAAAGAAAGTTTTATTCAAATTTTAAAATTTAAATTCATAGCTTTCTGTATCATTCGATAACTTTTTAAGACCATATCCATATGTATACCAATGACGTATTCTAGCTATAATTTTTTTGTACACTTGCACATCCATCCGTCTCCTGTTATAGATAACTGGTTTGGTAATGATACAAGTTCTTTTAAAAGGTCAGCATTGACGTTTGTAAACTAAATATCAGATTTCCTTGCTCTTCGTACGCGAAGCTGGGAACAGTGTAGACTGTATGTAGCCTACGGCATTTTAGAAAATTGATCTTCTATAAGAATTCCTGGTGCACAATTGAAAGTCAAACGTCATGCGAAATATTTTCCGAGTGAGATACCTATGAAGCAAAGTTAAAATAACTTGTTTCCAGATCACTAACACACTTGATTGTAGTTAATGTGTTCCTATGTCTGGGATATAATGAAACTAATGAGATAGTTCGCGCGCATGACAAGTTCTAGTACGGATGTACTAATTCCTACAAACCAGAACATATCTTCATACATGCAAAATGGACTGGTTAAAAAAACTAGACATCCCACTCAAATCGGAGAATTTCCCTCATAACATCACAGAAGTTAATCATAGATAGTGCTTATGTCTAATGATAAAAGTACAACAGATATATAAACAGCAGCTGATTGTATGGCGATGAAAATACCACGGGAGTGAGGATACACTGTAGAGATATAACTGCATTACACGTGTACTTATAGACACTACACGTGTACATATAGACACTACATATGTACTTATAGACAATACACGTGTACATATAGACACTACACGTGTACATATAGACACTACACGTGTACTTATAGACACTACACGTGTACATATAGACACTACACGTGTACTTATAGACACTACACGTGTAATTATAGACAATACACGTGTACTTATACACACTACACGTGTAATTATAGACACTACACGTGTACATATAGACACTACACGTGTACTCTACACGTGTACTTATAGACACTACACGTGTAATTATAGACACTACACATATACTTATAGACACTACACGTGTACTTATAGACACTACACGTGTACTTATAGACACTACACGTGTAATTATAGACAATACACGTGTACTTATAGACACTACACGTGTACTTATAGACACTACACGTGTAATTATAGACAATACACGTGTACTTATAGACACTACACTTGTAATTATAGACAATACACGTGTACTTATAGACACTACACGTGTAATTATAGACACTACACGTGTACTCTACACGTGTACTTATAGACACTACAAGTGTAATTATAGACACTACACGTGTACTTATAGACACTACACGTGTAATTATAGATACTACACATATACTTATAGACACTACACGTGTAATTATAGACACTACACGTGTTCATATAGACACTACACGTGTAATTATAGACACTACACGTGTACTTATAAACAATACACTTCAGTTATGTATAAGTTATACAATACAACACGTCAGTTATATATAAGTTATACAGTACAACACGTCAGTTATATATAAGTTATACAGTACAACACGTCAGTTATGTATATGTTATACTGTACAACACGTCAGTTATGTATAAGTTATACAGTACAACACGTCAGTTATATATACATTATACAGTACAACACGTCAGTTATATATAAGTTATACAGTACAACACGTCAGTTATATATAAGTTATACAATACAACACGTCAGTTATATATAAGTTATACAGTACAACACGTCAGTTATGTTATACAATACAACATGTCAGGTATGTGTAAGTTATACAGTACAACACGTCAGTTATATATAAGTTATACAGTACAACACGTCAGTTATATATAAGTTATACAGTACAACACGTCAGTTATATATAAGTTATACAGTACAACACGTCAGTTATATATAAGTTATACAGTACAACACGTCAGTTATGTTATACAATACAACATGTCAGGTATGTGTAAGTTATACAGTACAACACGTCAGTTATATATAAGTTATACAGTACAACACGTCAGTTATATAAGTTATACAGTACAACACGTCAGTTATATATAAGTTATACAGTACAACACGTCAGTTATATATAAGTTATACAGTACAACACGTCAGTCATATATAAGTTATACAGTACAGCACGTCAATTATATATAAGTTATACAGTACAACACGCCTGTGATTTATGAGTTAACAGTACAACACCTCAGTCATGTATAAGTTATACAGTACAACACGCCTGTGATTTATGAGTTAACAGTACAACACGTCAGGTATGTATAAGTTATACAGTACAACACGTCAGTCATATATAAGTTATACAGTACAACACGTCAGTTATATATAAGTTATACAGTACAACACGCCTGTGATGTATGAGTTAACAGTACAACACCTCAGTCATGTATAAGTTATACAGTACAACACGTCAGTTATATATAAGTTATACAGTACAACACGTCAGTTATATATAAGTTATACAGTACAACACGTCAGGTATGTATAAGTTATACAGTACAACACGTCAGGTATGTATAAGTTATACAGTACAACACGTCAGTCATATATAAGTTATACAATACAACACGCCTGTGATGTATGAGTTATGCAGTACAACACGTCAGTTATATATAAGTTATACAGTACAACACGCCTGTGATTTATGAGTTAACAGTACAACATGTCAGTTATATATAAGTTATACAGTACAACACGCCTGTGATTTATGAGTTAACAGTACAACACCTCAGTCATGTATAAGTTACAATGGTGATTGGAGTTTATGGTAGAATACTTACCACACAAATCAGCTAAAGCCATATTACTAAGGTATAAATTTGTTGAGTTTCGGAGATGTCGGTTTGACGCGATGATAAGTGTGATGAAAATATTGCCAGCCATGCCCAGCACGAAGACAGGTATGTAAAGCAATGTTAGTGTTATGGTGTCTGCCTGTAGCCGGGTCTGATGTAAACCAAATCCGTCTAACATCCCAACAAACTCACTTATGTTTGTAGAGCTATTGAATGTTAATAGCATTCGTATCCATTCCGCCTCCATGTCCAACACAGTATCACGGACACTTGCTATCTGCTTAATCAGATGAGAATCATGAATGTTTCAACCCTATCCGAGATAAGACACAGTAATGGTTCCAACACACCGGGGACATACATCTAGATTATATACCTCTTAGCTAGATAGAGACTATAAAATCCATTCACACTGGGCGCTCGTGCTTTCCAGGAATACATCTGTACTTTTGAAAGTGATGTCAGGTAGATGCTGTACACTGATTGGCTGGCTCGGACAGGTATACCTTGTGAAGGTCACTCTCATGTCTTACGTTCACCTCCAGTTGCTAGGAAACAGTTGTAAGGATAGTCACTCAGCGCAAAACACATTTCGCTGATGCACCTACTTGGGATAGTCACAGAGCCTAACAACCGTCTCTAGTGGTTGGATAGAAAATGGTAGATAGGATAACGTCTCATTATTCCGGTGTCGCTAGTTAAGAACTGATAGGTAGGATATAGATCCTGTGTCGCCAGGTAGAAACCGACAGGTAGTATAGATCCCGTATCGCCAGGTAAAACCGATAGGTAGGATATAGATCCTGTGTCGCCAGGTAGAAACCGATAGGTAGGATATAGATCCTGTGTCGCCAGGTAGAAACCGATAGGTAGGATATAGATCCTGTGTCGCCAGGTAGAAACCGATCTGTAGGATATAGATCCTGTGTCGCCAGGTAGAAACCGATAGGTAAGATATAGATCCTGTGTCGCTAGGTAGAAACCGATAGGTAAGCTATAGATCCTGTGTCGCTAGGTAGAAACCGATAGGTAAGATATAGATCCTGTGTCGCTAGGTAGAAACCGATAGGTAGGATATAGATCCTGTGTCGCCAGGTAGAAACCGATAGGTGGGATATAGATCCTGTGTCGCTAGGTAGAAACCGATAGGTAAGATATAGATCCTGTGTCGCTAGGTCGAAACCGATAGGTAAGCTATAGATCCTGTGTCGCTAGGTAGAAACCGACAGGTAGGATATAGATCCTGTGTCGCTAGGTAGAAACCGATTGGTAGGATATAGATCCTGTGTCGCTAGGTAGAAACCGATAGGTAGGATATAGATCCTGTGTCGCCAGGTAGAAACCGATAGGTAGGATGTAATCTCTTAGAAACCGCAGGTAAGCTGCAGTCCCTATGCGCCGAGACGACCGCTACCAGTACACTCTCCAGTGTGTAAGACCGACGTGTTGTCATACGCACATGATTCTGAAATCACACACATATTAAGCCTCGAAAAAGGGCGCTACGAAAATCGATGAGTATAGCGCTCTAATGATAGTGTATACCAGAAATGAAACCTTTAAGCAGATCCTTAGTAATATTGTCGCCGTGCAGCGATTTGATTCCTAATAGTTTGTAATTACCGAAGACTACGACATAACGTCCAAGTCACGAGGTACACCTTTGCAACTCACCAAAGTTTCAGGGAAAGTTGTAGCAATTTAAGGCTGCTGTTCGTCATGCAAATCAATACAAAAAGCCCAGAGGTCCAGTAAGGCTTGATGTTTAGGTGTACTGCAGTTCCAAGTTGTAAGTTCGCGGTACATTACATATTTCGATATGTACGTCGGTGTTCAAATTCAATTCCTGTTTCACATAACATTCTCTCGGAAATATATTTATTTGAAAACTGCGAAAATCAATGTCAAGTTTGAAAGTCGTTCCACAGGCATTTAACCTTGATATTTCTCGGTGTGTTGGCCTCACCTTTCCTGGAGCCGTGCTACACTCCTCCCTTCAGATGTTGCACTGCAATCCTTCTGCTGTTGCTGCTACAATCCTCCTCCTGCTACATTCCTCCTCCTCCTGCTACAATCCTCCTCCTCCTGCTACATTTCTCATCCTCCCACTACAATCCTCCTCCTGCTATATTCCTCCTCCCCATCCTGCTACAATCCTCCTCCTCCTGCTACATTCCTCCTCCTGCTACAATCCTCCTCCTGCTACATTCCTCCTCCCCATCCTGCTCTATTCCTCCTCCTGCTACATTCCTCCTCCCCATCCTGCTCTATTCCTCCTGCTACCTTCCTCCTCCTGCTACAACCCTCCTCCTGCTACATTCCTCCTACTACTACAATCCTCCTCCTGCTACATTCCTCCTCCTGCTACAATCCTCCTCCTGCTACAATCCTCCTCCTGCTACATTCCTCCTCCTGCTACATTCCTCCTCCTGCTATATTCCTCCTCCTCCTGCTACATTCCTCCTCCCCATCCTGCTACAATCCTCCTCCAGCTACAATCCTCCTCCTGCTACATTCCTCCTCCTGCTACATTCCTCCTCCTCCTCCTACTACTACAATCCTCCTCCTGCTACAATCCTCCTCCTGCTACAATCCTCCTCCTGCTACATTCCTCCTCCTGCTACAATCCTCCTCCTGCTACATTCCTCCTCCTGCTACAATCCTCCTCCTGCTACATTCCTCCTCCTGCTACATTCCTCCTCCTGCTACATTCCTCCTCCTGCTACAATCCTCCTCCTGCTACATTCCTCCTCCTGCTACAATCCTCCTCCTGCTACATTCCTCCTCCTGCTACATTCCTCCTCCTGTGTCATTCCTCCTGCTACAATCCTCCTCCTGCTACAATCCTCCTCCAGCTACAATCCTCCTCCTGCTACAATCCTCCTCCTGCTACATTCCTCCTCCTGCTACAATCCTCCTCCTGCTACATTCCTCCTCCCCATCCTGCTACATTCCTCCTCCTCCTCCTGCTATTCCTCCTCCTGCTACAATCCTCCTCCTGCTATATTCCTCCTCCTGCTACTACAATCCTCCTCATGCTACATTCCTCCTCCTGCTACATTCCTCCTCCTGCTATATTCCTCCTCCTCCTGCTACATTCCTCCTCCCCATCCTGCTACAATCCTCCTCCTCCTGCTACTTCCTCCTCCTGCTTTATTACTCCTCCTCCTGCTACATTCCTTCTCATCCTGCTACATTCCTCCTCCTGCTACATCCTCCTCCTCCTCCTCCTCCTGCTACAATCCTCCTCCTGCTACAATCCTCCTCCTGCTACAATCCTCCTCCTGCTACATTCCTCCTCCCCATCCTGCTACATTTCTCCTCCTGCTACATTCCTCCTCCTGCTACAATCCTCCTCCTGTTACATTCCTCCTCCTGCTACAATCCTCCTACTACTTCAATCCTCCTCCTGCTACATTCCTCCTCCCCATCCTGCTCTATTCCTCCTCCTGCTACAATCCTCCTTCTCATACTTTCCTCGTAGTTCTACATTCATCCTTCTACTTCATTCCTCCTCCTGCTACATTCCTCCTCCTGCTACATTCCTCCTCTACTGCTCCTCCTCATTCCTCCTCCTGCTACATCCTGCTACATTCCTCCTCCTGCTACAATCCTCCTCCTGCTACAATCCTCCTCCTGCTACATTCCTCCTCCTGCTACAATCCTCCTCCTGCTACATTCCTCCTCCTGCTACAATCCTCCTCCTGCTCTATTCCTCCTCCTGCTACATTCCTCCTCCTGCTACATTCCTCCTCCTGCTACAATCCTCCTCCTGCTACATTCCTCCTCCTGCTACAATCCTCCTCCTGCTACATTCCTCCTCCTGCTACATTCCTCCTCCTGCTACATTCCTCCTCCTGCTACATTCCTCCTCCTACTACACCCCTCCTCCTGCTACAGATCTACTCCTCCTCCTGCTACATTCCTCCTCCTGCTACCTGCCTCCTCCTCCTGCTTCGTTCCTCCTCCTGCTACATTCCTCCTCCTCCTCCTCCAGCTACAATCCTCCTCCTGCTACATTCCTCCTCCTACTACTACAATCCTCCTCCTGCTACATTCCTCCTACTACTACAATCCTCCTCCTGCTACATTCCTCCTCCTGCTACATTCCTCCTCCTGCTACATTCCTCCTCCCCATCCTGTTCTATTTCTCCTCCTGCTACATTCCTCCTCCCCATCCTGCTCTATTCCTCCTCCTGCTACAATCCTCCTACTACTACAATCCTCCTCCTGCTACATTCCTCCTCCTGCTACAATCCTCCTCCTGCTACATTCCTCCTCCTGCTACAATCCTCCTACTACTACAATCCTCCTCCTGCTACATTCCTCCTCCTGCTACATTCCTCCTCCCCATCCTGTTCTATTTCTCCTCCTGCTACATTCCTCCTCTAATCCTCCTCCTCCTACAATCCTACTCCTGCTACAATCCTCCTCCAGCTACAATCCTCCTCCTGCTACATTCCTCCTCCTGCTACATTCCTCCTCCTGTGTCATTCCTCCTGCTACAATCATCCTCCTGCTATATTCCTCCTCCTGCTACTACAATCCTCCTCATGCTACATTCCTCCTCCTGCTACATTCCTCCTCCTGCTATATTCCTCCTCCTCCTGCTACATCCTGTCCTGTCTACAATCCTCCTCCTGCTACATTCCTCCTCCTGCTACATTCCTCCTCCCCATCCTGCTACAATCCTCCTCCAGCTACAATCCTCCTCCTGCTACAATCCTCCTCCTGCTACATTCCTCCTCCTGCTACATTCCTCCTCCTGCTACAATCCTCCTCCTGCTACAATCCTCCTCCTGCTACATTCCTCCTCCTGCTACAATCCTCCTACTACTACAATCCTCCTCCTGCTACATTCCTCCTCCTACTACATTCCTCCTCCTCCTGCTACAATCCCCCTCCTCCTGCTACATTCCTCCTTCTGCTACACTCCTTCTGTTGTTGTTGTAATCCGCTTCGTTTTTCTCCAATTACAAGAGTACTATATACTAGACCTATTGACTTTAAGCAATTAAGGAGTACCCACATTACGATGCTTAACGGGCCCAAGTTACTCTGCCAATCTCAATGCTCATATAATCATTACATTTACAGAAACAGGTCCTCCATATAAAATCACATAAATACGGCTTGTCTGTCGTTAGAATCCATCACAATTAATTGTACAGATCTTTTAAACATTCAACATCGCCTCACTGTTTGACAGATGCTTTCAAACGCGTATTCATTTCGAGTTTCACTATG